AAAGGAGTGGCGGCTGCCATCTCCCTACCTGAAAATTTGCAGCATCTCTATGTATTAGAAGAAACGTGTGCCCCACATGCCACTTTGGGGATAGGCAAAGAATTTAGGCCCAATGATAAAACGTTGCCATTCTGCCACTGACTGGTTGCCCACCCAAAATAAACACCTCCAGTACTCACCATCCTTGGAGACATATAGAATCACCGACTTCTCCCACCTCACCCTGACACCTGAGAAGCGCCACTTGCCTCGTACACATGGACGTGAGCACATTGACCACCCGGGCACCCATGCTCTTTTGTCCAAACTTCCTGACACACTCTGGGCAGCTGGCCCAATGGATGTGGTACTTATTAAGATCCCACCCATGCACATTCCATTGAAAACTGGAGCAGTGCCAATATATAAAGCCCAGTATCCCTTGAAGCCAGACCAGCTCACAGGCATCTCTAACACTATTGAAGACCTCTTACAAGGAGGCATCCTTACCCCTACCCATTCCCCATGGAACACTCCCATTAATCCTGTACCGAAACCTGGCAAGCCTGACTACCGCATGGTGCATGGCCTGAGACCTGTCAACAAGATGGTGTTCCCCACTAACTATGACACACCCAATCCCTACACATTGCTCAATGCCATTTCTCCATCTCACTGCTACTTTTCATGTATTGATTTAGCCAACACCTTCTTCTGCGTGCCTCTACATCCTGACTCTCAGCAGATGTTTGCTTTTTCATATCAAGGTGTCCAATACACCTACATCCGCCTGCCGCAGGGCTTCATCGACTCCCCCTCTATCTTTAATCATGTTCTCAAAGAACAACTGAAAAATTTGTCTCTGCCTCCACAAGTATCTCTTCTGCAGTATGTGGATGACATCCTCATTGCTGCCTCGGATGAAACTTCCATAATGACAGCAACTGAGAGAGTACTAAAACATCTCTCAGACTGTGGGTTTAAAGTCTCTAAATCCAAATTACAGATTGGTAGACAAAATGTCACCTTCCTCGGTCGTGTTGTCTCCTCCACTGGATTGAACATGACCACTCATCACAAATCAAACATCCTACACTATTTAAAACCCACCACTGTGAAAGCCATGATGCAGTTCTTGGGCTTGGTGACATACAGTAAGAATTTTGTGCCCGACTTCTCTGGACTTGTAGCCCCCTTACGCGCCCTCATAATGCAGGCAGGTTACAAAAATTATCACGCCCCTTTGATCTGGACCACTGAAGCTGACAAAGCCTTTGTTGACACTAAGACTGCTTTAGCTAATGCCTGTTATCTTCACGCCCCAGACTATTCACAACTGTTTCACTTAGATGTTGATGAAAAGAACGGCTATGTGAATGCCGTTCTGTTTCAAAAGGGGAAAGGTGGGAGCACAGACAGGAAGGTTTTAATGTACTACAGCTCTAGACTTGACAATGTAGAAATGGGACATCCTACATGTGTCAGACATGTGGCTGCAATTGGAAAGGCAGTAATGAAAACTTCACACATAACCATGAGCAACCAAACCATTTTACATACCACTCACGGAGTCAAAGCTTTTCTGGACTCACAAGCATTCACGTTGTCAGCCCATAGAGTTAATGGCCTCCAACAGCTCCTGAACAAACCCCA